AGGTCATTTTTACGAGCACGCGCCGTATCATCTCACGAGCAAGCCATTACTATCACTATTGAGGAGGAACAAGACCTCCAACATATTAATAGACGTTTTAATTCAGAAAAAACTTAGGGAAAAATAACGCGAATAAAAAAAATATTAAGTGTAATAAATGCAGCAAAATGGGTCACTAAGCAAACGAGTGCCGCAGTAACGCCGGTACCTCATACAGCACAAATTTTAGAAATCCCGTTAGCAGTCGTGACGACAAAACCAGTGTAGTGAAACACGAATATCAAGGTCAAGTTAGATTCTGCTCGTACTGTAAGAAAACAAACCACAATATAAAAGATTGTAGGAAGCGTATTTATAACGAGAGTAAAAAAACGAGTAACAAGGAAAGTGAAATTCTTAGTACCAGCCGTACAGTAAACGAAATCAACCAAAATCATGTAAGAGTTGTAGCAAATTTCGAAGAGGAACATATAATATGTGCATCGGATAATTTCAAACCTCATAAAATTAAATTACTAGTTGATTCCGGCGCGGAAATGAATCTTATTAAAATAACCGCGTTAGAGGGACACGTCGTAGTAAACGAATCCACGAAACGCACGATTAAAGGCATTAACGAAATTCCGATATTCACCGTAGGCACAATTCTAACCAGTATGGAAATTAACGATGTAGAGGTGCTTATTAAATTCGACGTCGTTTTTGGCGATTTCCCAATAAACGAGTCAGGCATCATAGGTCGTAACTTTTTAAAACAAAACAAAGTCATAATGGACTATAGCCGAAATTTATTAACGATACCCGAAAAAACTGGTTTCAAGGAAATTATACTACCGCCGCTTAGCAATTGTGTACTACTTATAAAAAACGACGAAAATATAAGTCACGAGAATATTACTATTAAAAAACAAGACGTAAACGAGAACGTAATAATCGCGAACAGCATAAGTCCGGTCAATAAAAATAACATTATTAGTAACGTAATACATATTTCGGAAGAACCTTTTGTAATAGACGAGCTTACCACGCAACATATCGAGTGGGTGCCGTATAACGAAAATGTATTAACTGCATCATTCGTAGATGAAAAACAACCCGATCGTATAACACAGATCAAACTCGAGATTAAGACCGACGATTTAAATAAAGAAGAACGCGAAAGTATTCTTGAACTCTGTTGTAATTACGCGGATCTGTTTTACCTACCTTGCGACTATTTGAGCGCCACAGAAATCGTGGCACACACTATAAACACGCCGCGTTGCACAAAACCAATTAATATACGACCGTATCGTTTGCCTTAGGCGTACCAAGAAGAAATCGAAAAACAAATTAAAGAAATGAAACATAACAATATTATACGCGATTCTAAATCAACTTTTAATTTTCCACTAGTAGTAGTGGAGAATAAAAATTTAGATAAGACAGGGAAACCCAAATTACGAGTATGTGTAGATTTCAGAAAACTTAACGAAGTAACCGAGAACGAAGCTTATGGCCTCCCAAATTTACTAGAGATATTAGAATCCTTAGGATCATCCAAATACTTCAGTACATTGGATTTGGCGTCAGGTTATCATCAAATACATATAGACCCGGCTGATACACATAAAACAGCTTTCTCTACGAAATCCGGTCACTACGAATTTTGACGCATGCCATTCGGGCTGAGCTCAGCTCCAGCTACTTTCACACGGGCAATGAAATCTGTACTTATGGGCCTTGAGGAAATGTGTACTGCATATCTTGACGACATTGTAGTACATAGATCCAGTTTAAAGGACCACCAAAAGAAGTTGGAACAGGTATTCAATAGGTCGCGCGTACACAAACTTAAATTACAACCCAATAAATTTTCTTTCTTACGGAAAGAAGGGGCACATACTTGGGGCACGTAATAAATGAAACTGGAGTTTCCACGGACCCAAACAAACTAAAATGTATTCGAAAATATCCTCGACCGAAAAATGAAAAGGATTTTAAATCATTTTTAGGACTACTAAATTATTATAGACGTTTCGTCTACAATTTTGCGAAAATCGTAAAACCATTAACTTATTTACTTAAAAAAGACGTACCATTCGTATGAACTGATAACTGCGAACATATTTTCGAGGAACTAAATAAAGCTTTAATGAACCCACCGTTACTGGTCTATCCGGATTGGGAAGCGGGAAAGTTCAACTTAATGACCGACGCGAGCCAATATGCAATAGGAGCAGTCTTGTCGCAAGGGGAAGTCCCTAAAGATCAACCTATCGCTTATGCAAGTAGAACGTTAAATAAATCCGAGTGTAACTATAGCGTTATTCAAAAAGAATTATTAGCCATCGTCTGGGCCGTGAAATATTTCAGACCATATTTATATGGACGACATTTTAACATTATAACCGATCACAGACCATTAACATACCTGTTTGGTATTAAGGACGCGTCATCGCAGTTAATGCCCTGGCGTTTACAACTAGCCGATTACGATTATGACATTACGTACAGGCAGTGTTGTGCACAGATAACTTTAAAATTGGTGAAAGTGAAGCTTGACGGACTAATGATTTTAGCATTAATATAATAAGTAATAACACGACAATATGATTAGGTATAAGTATAATATATAATAACGTACAACTGGACAATTAAACTGTGACAGTACACACACATCGTATACGCTCTGTACAACGACGCCTGGTGCAAGTGAATATTACATACATCAAAGGCCCTATATATATGCACGATCGAGGTCATGTTACATCCGTGAAGAGAGTGAGTCTTATGCTCGTACATAACTAGTTACTATATTGTACACACGTGTCAAGGCTGACTACAATATGTACTAAATATTAATTGTATATTTCAACAAAAATCATCTAGATAAGATAACAGATAATGCGTTGAAAATTTATCTAGATAAGATAAATAGATAACACTTCAAATATTTATCTAGATAATAGATGAAAGATAACGACATTTATCTAGATAAAAAAACAAATAATTAATATTTAATATTGCAGATCCGAGGATAGTTATAATATTTTGGTAGGGCGTTTTTCTTCTTCTTCCCTAGTTAGGATTTCTGCGTCAAAAGTGTATTTCATCATGAAGAAAAAACTGAGAAAATAGTTAAAACTATTATTCTGTACCTAATCTACTTTTTTAAAAATTAAGATTAAATGTAAATAAAATACTTTGTTGTTCAAAATTGTGTTACAAAATTGTGTCTATAAAATATATTTAAATAGTTTAGAGTACCTATACATAATAAAACATCAGAAGAAATCATAGAAAAACATCATTAAATACTTAATAAAAATTAAAACTATATTTATTTATAATCTAATTATTGTCGAAATAAATACAATTATACATTAAACTTCTTAGATTTTAAACACATTAACATCTCAAACGTCTTGTCACTCAAACGATTCCTTCTTGAAGTTAAAATTTGGGTTCAGACGGTCCAGGATTCGTTTCGAATTCATTGTCCTCATTTTGTCTTTTACGAAAAGATGTTACAAATCTATCCATTACGATTTTCGAAGTAATACGTTATAAAATGACTGTTAAATTAAACTTATTAAACTTCCATAGGCATTAGGTAATGAGTAATGACGAACGAGTGAATGACGAATGCGGAAAAAGAAGAACTATAATATTATTTGATACAGCAGACGCTAATGACCAATAGAATAATAGATACTCAGTAATCAGTATGTGTATTTTAATTTTTAATAACTAGAAACAGCTGGTTCCATTTTCTCCGTAATTGTGTATACGGATTATCAATATAAACACAATTAAGTGATTTGGTTAACCGTAGACGTTAACGCATAAACTATTTTTAGCTGAAAATGTTTTTTCCCGCAATGTCGACTACGCCGCATTTTATCGGGCCAATGTTCGTACTCACCTCTGTAGTCTATAGTCTGTTATTATCATAATATTTATTATTATTATTATTATTATTATTACGAAACGCAGTGAATATTTGGGATTTAAAAATTTGAATTTCTAAATCATTGACTGAATAATTATCTAGATAATTATTTTTAGATAACCTATTTATTTATCTAGATAAGATAAAAAGATACTTAAAATATTTTTTATCTAGATAAAATAAAAAGATAATTATATTTTATCTAGATAATGTACAACACTGCGTACAGGGCCGGACCCGAACACTCGAACGCAGATTGTCTATCGAGTATTCGAATGATACAACCTGATCCAACTGGTATGACCACCGACTTCGATGCGTTCCGAGCTGCGGAAAGCAAACCCATATTTAATTCGAAAATTATAGAAGTCGACGATGATCTAATCAAGGCTGTAGAAAGAGAAAACGTAATAATAATGATTCCGGAGTATAAAATTATAACAAACACGGCAGTGCGTGAAATAATAAAAAACGTAAATTTAAGCAAAATCCAGTTTTCGGATGCAAACAAGTTTTATACTATTGAATAAGAACCGAATTTACTCATATTTTATGGTCTAAAGCCAACTCATACAAAGCCATTCAAAGCCGAGGTTGTAATGAGATAAAACGGAGCGACCAAATGCGTGGCGCGCTCTAGTTTTATACATTACAAATAATCAATATCGATCGCCGCCGTGCGAGATCAACCGAACGACTGAACGCGACTGCCACAAAACAACATAGATAGCGCGTATCAACACACTATTAAACGGGTGCACGCCGCCCTCCGGAAAATCAAGTTTCCATATTGAAAGCCACATCCGATCAAGTTGCGGGTAGGATATTCTTTTTCCGCGACTTACCAACTACAACTTGGACACCATAACTGACGTCCAACACGCAAGCAGCCATCATCATGATTCATGACGAAAAACGTAACATGCGATTTTTAACATTTTACACGGCACCAGCGCGCATCACATAGCAGAAATAAAGGCCGTTTGCCGCCGTGAAAGCAAAGTTCTCCCCGCTGCGAGGAAAGACTAGCAAGCCGGACGATAGCAATATCGTCACGAACGGATATTCACATATAGTCTGACCCGGCACCTCTCCCATACACCGCCATAGCGAGTCGTATCTTGTGTCGACATGTTAGTGAGTTCTGAGCACCGCCGTCCGAGTTTGAGTCAGCGTTGCCATCCGTACGATAATTATCGTACACATACGATAATTTAGGCCATTTGTACGATGTACGATAGACACTTACTATCGTACATGAAAATACGATTATTTTACCACGGTACGATAAAATACGATAGTTTTTAAAATCACAGTTTACAGATATGAAATTAGTTCTTGCCTGCTTTTTATTATGCTTATTTTTATCTGCTTTTTTTCCTTCTGATATAGATAGTTCCACTTCTTCTTTCTTTTTAGGCTTATAGCGGTCCATTGAGGACCATCGCCGCTTCTAAAATGCCTTTCCACTTCTCCCTATCCGATGCCACTCCCATATCTAGCAATGGGTTGATCTTCTTTAGGTCTTTTTCTACTCTATCATACCATCTCTGCCGGGGTCTGCCTCTTGGTCTTTTCCCTGTTATTTTGCTCTCCGTGACTTTCTTAATTAGCGTGTCTTCGGCTCGCCAGACATGGCCTGCCCATTCCAGCCTTTTTCTGATTAAGAAGTGTCTTATACTCGGTTTATTGAATAGTTGTTGCAGGTTTCCATTTTTCCTTCTTTCAAATCTTTCCAATTCATTGTTGTATACTGGTCCGTAGATTTTTTTTAATATTTTCCTCTAAAAGTTTTGTAGTTTTTCTTCATCCCCCTGGGTGCTAGACCATGTCTCACATGCATACGTGACTACGGGACGCATGTATGTACAGTACAGGCGCTCTTTTGTACGTCTTGACAGTAGCTTGGAGGAGAGCATTTCTCTCATTGTGAAGTAACATCTATTTGCCGCGTTTATTCTTATCTTAATTTCGTTATGCATGTTGTTTTTTTCATTTATGTTTACTCCCAAATACTTGAAATCTCCTACCTGTTCGAAAGTAAGATCTCCGATTAGATTAGTAGATTAGTAGATTACCCTTCGCCGTTGCGTTCCTAGTCATCACCATATATTTGGTCTTACTCTCGTTTATAACTAGTCCCATACTGCTGCTGGAGTTTATTAGTTTTCTTGCTCTTTCCTCGACATCATGTTTAGATTTTCCACTTAATTTGATAATAGACATATGACTATGACATATGTCTATGATAATTATATAGGTCATGATAATAATATTTCTTTCATATCTATGCTATCATTTCACTCCATGCTATGGAGGCAGAACAATAATTAATAGCATCGAGATAGATAATAGATATCAAGAATTAAGTATAATATAATATTATACAGTATGTCCCAGAAGTCCCGTATCACCCTTAATATCTCCATGTAAAATCACTATATTTAAACGCGGTTTGTTTTACAGTACTAAGTATGAAAATTCTGATTGAATGGCATAAAATTCATTTATTTTTTTCTTTAAATTCAAAAATTTTCAAAAAAATTTTTTACGCATTAAAGAATTTAAAATTTTTAAGATAGCCATTTTGTTGAGCATATTTTTTAAAACAGTTCAAAAAAAAAAAAATACTAAAATTAAATAAAAATTGACCAAGTTAGAGCAAGTTATGTTTTTGAATAATTGTAGTAAAAAAATAAATTAGGAATGCAAAAGTATTGTCGTGTGCTGAAATTAGATATTTCATTATTGAAATGTGAAACAATAATTTATTTTTTTACTACAATTATTCAAAAACATAACTTGCTCTAACTTGGTCAATTTTTATTTAATTTTAGTATTTTTTTTTTTTTTTGAACTGTTTTAAAAAATATGCTCAACAAAATGGCTATCTTAAAAATTTTAAATTCTTAAATGCGTAAAAAATTTTTTTGAAAATTTTTGAATTTAAAAAAGAAAATAAATGAATTTTATGCCATTCAATCGGAATTTTCATACTTAGTTCTGTAAAAAAAACCGCGTTTAAATATAGTGATTTTACATGGAGATATTAAGGGTGATACGGGACTTTTGGGACATACTGTATACCATGAAGGCATGAACACAGATATTATATAAGATTTAATCTATCTTCTTAGTTCATGATATTATATACAAGTATTCTTATCTATCTACATGATTAATAGTTTGACAATTTCTAATCATCGATTTAAATTATTTGATAGGATAAAGGTAGGACAAATTAGAAATTCAAAATTTTAAATACAACATTTATTAAGAGACGCCATTAGCAAAATATAATTTTTCTTTTTAAAATTTAACACTGAAGTTAACAATAATCAAAATTTATCCAAATAATTTTTTATTAAAAAGTTGTAGTAGGTTAACAGTTTTAAAGATGATTGATTACATTGAAATAGATTCTTGAGATCTGAAATTGAAAAAATATAACAAAAATTAAACTTTAAACTTTTTATTACATTTATAAGAATAACGTATATTATTAAATATATATGACATAACAACTATTAAAACTAAAACAATGTCAGTCTGTTTGATACTATAAATATATAAGTATATAACATGAGTCAAATTAAAAAAAAACATGAAAAAGAAAAACATTTAACTTGTAGACAAAATAACAATTTTGTAAAATAAAGCAATATAACTAGATAAACTTAAAATTATAAACACATTAAAATTAACTATCACAATGGTTTTCATTAGTCTTCTTCCTCATTATCATCAAATCTTAAAACATTAAAAATATTGTCAGTGGTACCTTTGTTGTCATCAGTCTTAGGATATAAAATGTTTTTTGTCATTCGACTAAACATTTCATCATTTGGTTGGAAGTTAATGCACGTTTTACCACTTTCCTTTCCACCTTTTATGTGCTGCTTTGCATGAAGGGCCCCGTTTATGGTATCTGTGTTTAATCTATTCCTTTGTTTGGTCTTAATGCAGTTAACTGTAGAAAACACCCTTTCACAGTCAGCATTGGCATGTGGTTAACTTAAAACCGAAAGTGCAAAATCAGCTAACTCGTCATAGTCACCAATATGTTTGACTGATGACCTAAAAATTCAGTTATTTGTTTGTATGTTACATACCAATAGGAATTTCATATTGTTATGAATACAAAATTTACCAAAAAAAATCAGGATACTTGATATCAATATCCTCTTTTAAACCAACTAATGTAAGAGGCAGTCTACGCCACTGGCTGTCAATGGATTGCATGAGTTGTGTGTTATCCTCTGGTACAATTCTTGGTACAGCAGTCATCAATGACATTAATGATGGTATTTCATCTCTGAAGCTTAGTGAAATAGCATTGATGGGTTTAAGCATTTTCAACTTTGACAATAGAGGGTCGTTCATTTTGTATCGTTTTTTTATTTCTACAGTAGCTGACTGTAAAAACTGTCTACAAACTTTGAGTAGCCAGTAGCACGATACACGTCACACCAACAAGCCGAGCCAGTCTATCACCGTCCACCGACAATTGTTGTTCACCACCATCAAACGGGCCGTCATCCAGTACGAGTCAACGTTCACGCCACCACCTTCCACCGCATACGGCATAATCACCGTCAAAGTATTATTGGGCCTCTATACGCGCATATTGATTTTACGAGAGCAACCGCCGTCCAAGCAGAGCAAACCTCAAAACACGAAGTATAAACCGTGAGTCTAAATGTTCACATTCCCCCCCCCCATATTTTATGTGATCCCAGAATAAATTATTTTATATGTAAACTCGCAAGAGTATGATTGATTAAAAGAAATACTGTAATACAATTATCAAAACTGTATCTGTATGAGAATACCTAATGAGAATAAACGTGCAATAATATCAATATATAAACTACAAACGTTGAATTTTCATTACAAGGTCATTTACTTAGCTATAAACGATATAAAAACATTTTGTATTTCGAATAAAATAAATGCATTCTCTACGAATAAATTAGACGGACCTACCTCACTAACCGGTTATCCGCGTATTCGGACGATGTTTCGGCACATTTTCAAAGCAACCGACATCGTAGTAAAAATATATATAGGTCAACAATTAACATTAGAGGAGAAACAACAAATTATTTATGAACATCACAATTCACCATTGGGTGGACACTCCGGAGTATCACGTACCGTAAAAAGATTAAAACTTAATTATAACTGGCGCCACATGAAAAAAGACGTCTACCAACAAACTCTGTAGCAATTCAGGTGCTTGTTACAACCGACGGGGTCTTTCAGGAATCACCATCTGATTGTTGTTGCAACACAATGTGAAATGACCCCTCAAAGTGCGTTCACAGTTGAAGTGACGGGCCTCACAGTGCCTGCAGACTTCATTCAACGGCCCGATGTCGTGCCGATCCGGAAGTGGCTGTCGAACGCTGGCTGGCCTGTCTACTCGTGGCGCATGAACTCTTGGTAGTTCAACAGCAACTTCAGGGTTGAATTCATCGAAAATGTCCATGAACTCGAGTTCACCGGGCAAGACATCGACTATCTCGACGTCTGCCGGCAAAACTTCGTCGTCCATCTGGACTCCCATGTTGTCCACGTCGACAATTTCCACATTGTCTTCGTCCATAACGCCGTCTTCCATCACAACTTCAATGATGTGGTCGTCCATCATGGCGTTTTCGTCCACAAGGTTAGCTCCACCTTCAGGCTCTTCAGCCACGCCTGGCACCAGTTGCCGTCCGACTACCTATAAATTAATAGGCGGTTAGTGAAATTCAATTTTAAATCACATATTTATTTATCAATTAATTAATTGTAATAATGGCAGAGTAAAAATGTTTTAGCGTTATTTCATAGTTCTAAAATGTTTATATCTTTTTATTTTATATTATTTATGTTTTACATTTTGATATATTATGTTATATATATTCTTATGTTTTTATTGCTAAATGTAATAAAACTTATTTAAGTATACAACTTTAAAGTAATAATTTAATAATAAATTAATAGTAATAATAACTTTAGTAATAAAGTAATAATTAAATCAAAAAGTACAGTTGTATATTTAATGTCAATTATTTAATAAACTATATTGTAAGCATATTTGTCAAACAGATATTAGTTAAAACAATATGAACGCAGTTTAAAATATGTTTAGTCATAGCAAAAGAATGGTTCTGAAGCAGTGATCAACAGTTATACAATTAAACAGTTAAGCCAAAAGACAAAAGGGAAAACTAATAAGTGAAATAAAAGTGTTGTGTAGAGAGACATGTACACATATATCAAACATTTGTTTGTAAGTGAAAGTAAAACAAAATATTAGTTTAAGGCAATCATTAAAAATCATAACATGTAAGTTTAACGTTTAAAGTCTGACTCTATGTCGAGCCATAATCAATGAATAGGTTAAAATAAATAGGTACATAATCATAGTCCATAAGTAGTAATTAA